GGTTTTTTTTTTTTTTTTTTTTTTTTTTTTTTGAGCCAATCGAGTATAATAACGCAATTGTATTAAATGAGAATTATCTGAAGAACAAGTGAAAGATGGAAATGAACGCGGTATTTATCTTGTGAACGGCTTCGTCGCTTCGCCGAAGCTGTAACAAGGAACCGTGTATGACACAATCTTAAGACCAGGAGTCGTTGCTGATGCCTACAATCGCGTCGCGGCATTGTAACAGATGCTATTGATTGAGTTGGGGACGTGAAAAGCAACCTCGAGACATAGTTAAAAAGCCACAATCAATTCCTTGGTAATCAGTGCTAAAATAGCCTCCCCCTGCGGTTGTCGCCAGGCCGCGAACAGTCATGGCCTTGTTGAAAACCCTTTTCCGATCCTAAGATATTGCAACATCCACACATTCCCTAATTTCTACACCCTCTGCGTTTCGTCTACATTGTGTAGAAGCTCGTGACTAACAGGCAGCTACGTGGCCCTGGTGGGTGGCTTGAATATGACCAGTCCCCCCAGGCCGCTGGTCGAGAGGCCAAATGTTTGGGAGCCTAGGAACAGTGGTCAGTGCCGGAATAAAGGTCAATTTTCAACTGGCCTACTGTACATCGTTCGGGTTCAAGTTGATATTGGCCCGTCCCTCCGTAGTTTCCACCCAACCCTTAAAGTCATCACCTAGACAACAACAAAGACCGAAAAGACTAAGAGCATCGTTATGGCGGAGAATTTAGTTGAATGACTTAAGAAATTCGCCGTATTCAGGCTTGTTTGGCGAATCATTGTCTTCATTTCTTTAGGGCTATAGTAGAACTCGTAGGGTAGGCAATCATCATTTTCATGAGCCAGCTGCTTGGCTTAGTGCTAGCGATCATGTTCTCCCAGGGGACCAGTGTTCCTTGGTATTCGACAAGCCGTTCCGTTGGATCCATATCAAAGTGGCGATGATTAAGCACGAGGCCAAGTGTACGGTCTGTCTTGTGTTGCTGGAATAGCATGCGAAAGTCTTCAAGAAGGCTGTCGCCATGTTTGAGGTCAAACACCCTCCCCGCATCTGCAAGAAGGGGAAGCCTGTTGTAAGCGGACGGGTCGTGGGCTGAAATCATTGTCCAATGTCTTGAGTAACTGAAATGAATCGGATGAATTAGGTTTGTTTGTGTTAAAGCATTACTGAAGGCACTTTGTGCTTGGCTTTATAGACATTTTGACCATTAGTTGACGATACTAGAACCCAGAACACTCGTCTTTCTTCACTCATAGCTGTCGTCGTCGCCATCAGTAGACAGGATTTAGAAGTGAAACTATTGCTGTGATGACACCTGAAATGCATATCCTGTGGGCATATCGCCAACAAAAAAAATAAGACGCAGTCTTATTGGCCAACGAGCGGGAAAATGTGATGAAGAAGTTGTCTGTTTTCCCCCTCTGCTATGCCTACAGAACCTTCGTTCCGGGCCCCTGCTTGGACGACCAAAATTACGTACTTTTACCACTATGATGGACCAATTGAGGTCCAAGGATTTGGGGCGGGAGGAGTAGATATGCTTGTGTGGGCGAAGGTTGCTAGTATCCATGACATTGTCGCCGGTGCGTATGGTGATTACAGAATAACACGCTGCGAGTGGAAATGGGTATACATGGCCATGAATCCAAGCGACCTTGGTTTCACAAGCGTCAAGTTACTACGGAATTCGGAAGCTACTGCAGTGACGTCCGCTTGCCTAATGGAATTGACCAACAATCAGACCAGTCACTTGCCTGATGTACTCGCCGCTCTCCCTTTGTTACCGACTAGTTATCTGGTTCAGCCATTCGTGCATCAGGCAGGAGCCCAATAGTTCGTGCTGATTAAGTGGAAAACGTGTTGAGAAGGGGGAAAGACTGATGTATCCTGCAGTCTCCGGGCAATCTTTCTAGCCACATTTTACTCGTAATTCTTCATTACTGTGTTATTAAGTAATAAAAATTAGAAGTTCTTTTATTTTGGCAACAAGACATCTGTACGTTGGTTGCTTCAGTACAGAAAAAATGTAACTCCATAAGAGGCAGGTGGAACTTCAGTATGGCGCGGCATGTTAGGCCACAGTTGCTGCCAAAGAACCATGCGGAATTGAACATGTCTGCCTCGGCATGATAAGGAGGCGTCAGGGAAGGGAGGTTGGTAATTATGTCGCATTGACATAAGCGCCATCCCGAGATGTGTCATAAGAAATTGCTTTCGAGCCAGCGGCCAATATCGTTGGCGGTTTGTTTTGAAACACTTTGAGAGTTGACGCGCTACTTGCCCACCGTTCTGGTTCGTTGGGAGTGTGTGCGAGCTCTATCCGAGCAACGTTGACGCGGTATGCCCAGCACGGGCAGAAGGTTTCTTGTATGTACTCCTACTCCCTCAACGTATGAGCCGTTTTTTTCATCAGTGGAACAAACCGTCTGAGTCGCCAAGAGCAATGTAAGCCTCTGGTCTTGGAGACATAAGCTAGCCAAACTAGATTGCATAGACCCTGGGATCAAGAGTGAGACAATATGGGAGCGCATCAAATTGGATGGGGGGGTTCTGTGCTGGCTTTAAGATAGATTGTGTTCTCTGAGGATTCAAGACCGTCCAAACATCCTGCTGACAAGGAGAACAGATGGCCGGGGAAAGGCACTCCGGGGCGAAGCGGTGAACAACAGGACAAGGCTTTCTGGCTTTCTGGTAGAAATACGAACTGACCAACACCCCTAAATTTGCCCTTGTCCTTTGTGGGACATCGTACGGAGTAATTGTAACTTGTATTCTACATTATAAGTACTATTTAGTAATAAAGTTAGCAGAGTTAGAGATATAACTCTTAATAAGTTATCTATTTACTCTATAGAAAGCTCTAAACTTATAAAAGCTATATTAAAAGATACTTACGAGTATATATTAAATGTCAGCCGAAAAAATCAACTATCTAGGGGTGCATGCGCTGTGTGTGTAATTGCGCAGTAATATAAGGTCAATTTGCGTCTCTAATTGCTGGAGCGCGTTCCACTTTTGCGTAGTGCAGTTAATATCGGCTAATTAAGGGACTCTTTATAATATAATAGATATAGATATAATAAATAGAGCTTATGTAATTTAGTTAATTACTAAGCATAAGATAATAAGGATTCTTAAGGTAT